TTGCAACTTCAGGGATCTTATCTATGCACAATCAGCTTGTAACACTCCAAAGAGAAAGGAAAACTTGAAATCGCATCATAAGACCCCTTTAACATAAAGTTTATTTTCTACATTTTGTTAGATTTATGCTACAAATAAGAAAACATTATTTTTTAAAAGAAAAATAAATATGCTTTGATATCTTATGCAATTTTGCTTCTCAAGCTTCTATTACAGAAAAAGTGTATCAGTTCTGGTATGTTAAAGACTCTTTGAAAGAGAAATAACTTTCAGTAGTCATTATTAAATGTGTCAAAACATAAAATGAAAATATTAATTAAAGTCAAGTGTCTTTCTGCAGAAGGAAAGCTGCACTCCTATCTTTCTTTCCCTACAGAGTGCAGAGTTAGATGTGCAGGTTTTGTCTGACTGATATTCCCTCTCTCTATCTTGCTCAATACTGCAAAATTTATATCTAATGTACTATGCCTGAGAGGTATGGACATGTGCTGCTCTATAGCATTGTGCACCTATGAGTGTGTGTCCATAAATATATGTGATAACTGATTAGATAACTATCTCTCTGCCACTCAGAACAATACAGTATAATAAGGTAACCAAAAGTGTGTTTTTGTAGGGGTGGAAACGTGTATTTCTTACTGTGTGTTTGTCAGGAAAAAGTGCTTTTTACCTAAATTCACCCAGGACTGCAGAGTGAAGAAGCAATTCCATCATAAGTTGTCTAAAAGTGCAGCAGTCACGCACTGAAAGGCCACCGCGTGCGTTTCCCCGTGTTAATTAAAGCTCAGTGTAATTAAGATCCAGCCAGAGGCATTTCAAAGAGGGGCTGCAGACATGACTGAGACGGCATTAAGGCAATTACAGAGGAGAGGAATAAAGAGGGATGAAACACCAGAGTGATATAAGGAATGCAGTGTTTCTGCACTGATGTTTATCCAGCAGCTTGTGAGAGAACATTTCAATGATGTGAATAAACAATAAGCAAATATTAGTGCGCATTATTAGCCAATTACTTGCATTTATTTCTCTTAACAGGGGTTGATTGGGAGATGATTTCATTTGTTATTTTGTTATATGAAGAAGTACGTGCTTGTCAAATCAATATTAGTTCGGCATGAATTATAGTTCAATGCTTTGAATATAAATCTCATTACAGGTGCAAGCAGGTGGCTGTAACACCATCTGCTCTGAAATGTACAACTTAAATGTTTCACTGACCTCCTCTGACATCTGGACAGAGTTCACATTTTCTAAAATAATAGAACGGAAGTATGTTTGATCAGTCAGACTCAGACTCATACTTACCGTTACTGTTGACCCACTAAGCAACTGCTTGATTGTAATAGTATTGTGTTGTGTTGTGTTTTTCACCTCATATCTGTAGGATAACTACCACAGCTGCATGCATGATGGATTTGCGGAGATACCCGCTGGATGAGCAGAACTGCACGCTGGAGATTGAAAGTTGTAAGTGCTGTTTGTGGTTTAACCTTTAACAACCATGAACAACTCAGTTGGCTTGATTGTATAATCACACATATATCAGTAATAATTGAGAAAAGCCGTGTATGAAGATGATTCAAAATCATTTTAGTTTTGTACCAGATGAAAACACTGAATAGACAAAAAGTGGCTTTTGAATCAGTATTTTGTTTATTTTAGTTTTCTTATCATTGAACACAAGCTGTCACAACTATCACTGGCCTAACGTTCACAACAATTTGGTGTTTTTCCGAAATAGTTCTAAGGAACATTCACAAACAGAGTCGCAAAGCTCTGTGAACTGTGATTAGAAGCATAGTTTCTAGTTAGTACGATGTGGATGTAGATTATGCTTTTGCAAAATAAGCAAGCTAACATGCTTTACAATCTATATCTTTCATATACACAAATTTCATTTTAAATCTTTTGGTTGCCAAGAGAATGAAATCTTTGTTTTTGAAGGGTGTGCATGGGCAAATATGTTCTACCAACCCGAGGGAACCCTCAGTATGACGTAAGCGGGAACATGTGATTGAATCAAACACCTGGAAATAAAGCAAAACAATGGAAAACAAAAATAGCAAAGTAGTCCTCCGATGCCATGTTTGTTATTTACAGCATAATCTGACATTAATTAGATTTTAAACAAATAAATTAGCAGACGTTATTACTCCACTACTTGTGTGATGTCATTAACACCAATTCTATATTGTTGAACCAATGTGGTTCGAACAACTAATGTGTGACAGTTATTACAGTTTGTCAAACAGATGTGACCAGTTAATTTTTCCAAAGGGGCCATCCACACAGGAGACGTTGCTGTATTCTGTCTGCTTTTTTTTTTATGTACATATGCAGCTTTTGCATCACATTTTTTTCAGCATCTTATGCATTTCTAAGACGCACACATCTTGAGCGTCTCCTGCACTCTGTTACTTGTGTTCCAACTGTTTTTAACAATATGAGCATGTCCCATGTGAATGGGACAATATAGTAATTCAAACTTATATTGCTCCTTACAGTAGGTAGGATAATTGCCTCTTAAATAATTTACATTTGAGCCAAGGGGCATGATTGTATTATTTTTTCACATTATTATTTTGAATTAATAGCACTAAATTAATTTGTTACATTGACATAAAATACTGTATATATAGAGAGAATGAATGCAGAGGAACTTTTTTATACAATACACCACTAACTAATACATGCTACCAACATGGTAGTCCAGTTTTCACTGAAAGTATTACATAAAGATGCTGAAATTTCTGTATTGCATGCAGTTGCATGACAATGCCGCAAAAATACTGGTGCAATCAGTTGTGTAATCATGTCACTCTTTCTTTTGACTCTTATCTCATTTATCATGAAAAACACCTGCAGAGAATCTGGCTGTGCTGACTAATCTCGCTGTTTCATCTTTCTTTGTCCCTGCGTCTGTCTTACTCTGTCACTCTTTCTTTTTGCACTCTTTCCTCTCCTCTACTCCATCTCTTTTGCACTTTGTCTCTCTCGGTGTGACAGACAGTGTTTGTAATTGGGTGGCTGCTCTGCTGGGCAGACAGCTGTAGCCCTGTGAGGTTGCTGTCATGTCAGAGCTCTGAGATGCATATAACAGCATAATGGAGAAACCACAACACCAGCATCACAGCAGACATAAACCATGTCACTTTCACACGGTAGACATAAACCATGTCACCTTCACCACATACACATCATCCATGGGACAAGACAAGATCAGACTCACTGTAACTTTGGCAAAAACACTTATAGGTTGCTCTTAAAGGGATAGTTCACTCAAAAATGAAAATTGTCATTTACTCACCCTTGTGTTGTTTCAAAAAACTGACTTTCTTCTGAGGAACATAAAATATTTAAGAATGTTATTACCATTGACTTCACTTGTATGGACAATTTCTCAAAGCATTTCTCAAAATATCATAGTGATTGAATAATTGATGACAGAATTGTCATTTTTTTGGGAAGAATATTCTTTTAAACAAATCAGGTCAGTAAACAGGTGCATTTCATTTTGTGAATTTTGCCACCTTTACAAACTTTCTTTTTTAACAAACCAAAATTAGATATGTCAGTACAGCTTAGCAATAAACATTAAAGCATTCAAAACTATATAAAAACAATATAAACATAATATGCCAGGTAACAGGGTTGCAAATTTAGCTTATAATCAAATTTGTAGTTATTGATAAGCTTATATTTCATGTAAAATATAGAAACAAATTTGATCATTTTTTCATACAATTACTTGGGCAGTAGTAAGCTAGATATAGATAGATCTTTTGTTTATTTCATTCCGTTTTTTTTTTTTTTTTTTTTACATTTTGTTATAAAGAAAAACAGAGCTTAATGCAAAAAGTGGAACAGTTAAATATTTTGGTTTCGTTGGTTGACTTAATATTTAAATACAATTTATGAATATCAATATCAATCTGAATATCTATTTAGATTATGCAACAAATACAACATTACATGTGATTTTGGTACAGTTAATACAGTAGGAGTGGAACAGGCTAAAAAAAATCATTTTGGGACAGTCATGGGACACCAGAGTGTATTTCTATTTGTAGTAAACAGTGACAATTAATCAGACATCACAAATTTGACATGCAATTTCAGATTCCAACATTAAAGAGAAGAGGACTTAAAATGACAGAAAAATTCAGAGAGCATTGCAGACTGGGAAGAGTAGACCTTCATGAGGATTATCGCTGTGCTTCAGTCACTCAGGACTCTAGGCTGATGTTTCTTTTGATTGAACTTAATGAAGAACAGGAAGAATTCACTATCACAAGACTTCATCCTCTAATTAAGCTTTAATGTTCTGCAGTACTGTGCTCTCCTGGAGATAAGCACAGACAGTCTGCAGGGACAATCTTGTCAGTTAGACCTGCACCAGACCTCTCACAGAAGTGTTCTCACTGCAATCACATGCTGATTTACACCACTGACAACAAGGACTGTGGGAATGTGAGAGATGCAGCTCTCCCTTTGAGCCAGCATGCTGTTTTGTGACTATATGTGCATTTGTGAATGTTTCTGTCCCTCTTTTGTCTCTCAGATGGCTACACCACAGATGACATTGAGTTCTACTGGCAGGGAGGACGTTCAGTGACCGGGGTGGACAACATTGAGCTGCCGCAATTTTCTATTATTGATTATAAAACACTGTCTACGAAAGCGGTGTTTGCCACAGGTGCAGTGCTCTCCCTGCATGTTCATGAGATGAATAGACATCTTTAGAGATGAGTCAGCCCTCCTCTGTCCTGCAGAACTACCGTATGCCAAGATTGCCTTCAGTTCAAAACTGAATCATTCAAATTAAGTTGTTTTTTATTTGTAAGCACAGAAAATGCTATGTGTGTAGTTGTAATGCTGTTCTGATTTGAAAGAAACGAAGCAATTTGCAGCTTGTTCTCGTCAAGACCCGCCCACTTAGACAGGAATCTGACTGACTGACATGTTAAACGACCAACCACACTGTATACTGTATGCTCTACCATTAGTAAGATTTTTTAAAAGAAATTAATACTTTTATTCAGCAAGGATATATTAAAATTGATCAAAAGTGACAGAAAAGACACAGTTACAAGTGATTTCTATTCAAAATAAATGCTGTTCTTTTGAACTTTCTGTTCATTAAAGGATCCTGAAAAAAATAGGGACAGGAATAAATTACATTTTAAAATACAGTATATTCAAATAGTAAACTGTTATTTTAAATAGTAATAGTATTTCACAATATTACTGTTTTACTGTATTTTTGATCAATAAATGCAGCCCTGTTGAGCAAAAGAGACTTCTTTCAAAAACATTAAAATATCTTACTGACCCTAAACTTTTGAATGCTAGTGTACTGTAAGGTTTCCCTTCTGAATGTGTTTTTGTGTACCACACTGGCAGTACTTTCATTTCTCACTTTCAGGGTCATATCCTCGTCTGTCTCTCAGTTTTAAACTGAAGAGAAACATTGGATATTTCATCCTGCAGACCTACATGCCTTCAACATTGATCACCATCCTGTCCTGGGTCTCTTTCTGGATCAACTATGATGCTTCTGCTGCAAGAGTTGCGCTAGGTGTGTGTGTGTTTGTGTGAGATCACATAGTGCTTCACACCATCCAAAGTCATTGCCCTTCACCTCACTTTTTCCAATACTTCTTAAATTTACTTTTGATGTCAAACAGTTTCTAAATAAAACATTGTAATACTGACTCTCTTTAGGAATCACCACCGTTCTGACTATGACCACAATCAACACTCATCTTAGGGAGACTTTACCCAAGATCCCTTATGTGAAGGCCATAGACATCTATCTGATGGGCTGCTTTGTCTTTGTGTTCCTGGCCTTGCTTGAGTATGCCTTCGTCAACTACATATTCTTCGGCCGGGGTCCACACTTGCAGAAGAAATTGGCAGAAAAAGCTGCAAAAAGCAACAATGGAAAGAGTCGGATGGAGAGTAACAAAGTTCAGGTGGGTCTTTGACCTGTTCTACACTTCTTACATTTTTTTTGTAATTATTTGCTGTAATCTAACTCACCTTAAAGGGATTCCCTGATTTTAGTTTTATTTATAACATATTCATACAAAATAGTGCAAAATAATCATATCAGCCATAACAAGAAAATAACTATCTTCCACAATTTAAATTGTTCTACTGTATGCATCCCTAAATTCTATTAAGGTTTTATGTATAAACATTTTTTTTTGTGAGAAGAATCACTAAAGCTTACTTAACTTTGCTAATATTCTGTTTTTATTTATATCTTTTTTCCATTAAAGTTTGATGTCCATGGAAACATTCCCCTGACAAACCTTGACCTGCGCCTTAGTGGAGCAGAGATGTTAGGTGCTTTTGGGGACCCAAGGAACACCATGTTCTCTTATGATAGTGCCAGCATCCAATACCGTAAGCCCCTTACAGGTCGGGACCTCTATGGCCGGCCCACCGCCTCTGTCGAGAGGCCAGTGGCACGAAAAAAGAGTCGTCTTAGGAGGCGAGCCGCTCAGCTAAGGGTGAAGATTCCAGACCTGACAGACGTAAACGCCATCGACAAGTGGTCACGTGTCATCTTTCCCATCACCTACACCTTCTTTAACTTAGTATACTGGCTGTATTATGTCCACTAGGGAGCAGCACTGACTCGACAAAGCCATTCACACATCAGGTCAGGCTCTCTTACCCTCCTTGTGGTTTTGACTGTCAGTCAGACGGGAGGAAAAGGTGCATTCTGTAGGTAACCCTTCTCTGTAATTTATTAAACTATAACGAATATATCATATAAATCTATATTATAATTTTGAAATAAGAAAATAAGCTAAAAAAATTACTACCCAACTTTTAAAGCTGTTTAATGTAGATTGTCACAAATATTAGTTTCAAATTGTCACTGGATTTTTGCACTTTGCTTCTGTAGGATGAGTTTCACAGACTGCTGAAAGTACAACTTCACAATGGGGAGAAAAAAGGCTTTTCTTTAGAGATGACTGCACTGCAGCTGCATGTCAGACAGGCTTAAATCTTTAAAACAGCATTTGGAAGTTGTTTTAAGGTCTTAAAGAGATGTTCTTGGTTTATTACAAGCTCTATCAACAACATTCGTGGCATAAATTTCATTACCACAGAAAATAATTTTAACTCATCCCTCAGGTTTTTATAATAAATAGTCGTAAGTTTGAAAATAATTGCAAGTTACTTTTATCTGGTACTTTCACATCATGTAGATTTTATTAAAGCTTTATTCCTGTGTTTTGCAACAATGTAAGCATTTTGGTTTTTTAGAAAACCAATAGTTATTCAGTATAGTAAAACTGTTTCTCTTTGAGGTCAATGTGATCCCAGCACAAGATTAGGAAGGTTAGTAAGTCTTGAAGTGTCAGCCTACTTCTGTTCGGTATTTGTGGTATTAGTATTTAATTGTGGTTACTGTAAGACACTAACAGTGGAAGTACATGAGCCAGGCAATTGAAATAATAATACCACACAACATAAGTTATTCATATTGGCATGACATGCTAGTAAACCTGGTACATTTTTGGCTCATGGAGACCTGAAATTGATGTTACAGTTGTACACTGCTTACATGGAGCAAACTCCACCTGCAAGACTAAATGTACAGTATCATATACTTTTATAGTTCCTGAAGATAAGTTCATTTACCTAAAACAGTAATATCTAAAAAAATAATTTTATAGTCAGTTGATGGAGCTTAACTTGAATGAAAACCTGGAACATTCCTTTAAAATCAAGACCTTCATATTATGTTTAAGTTTGATAAATGCCTTGCCCCAGTTTAGACACATCATGTAGATTAAACTTGTTTGTCTTAGTAAGACTTTAGCAACTCTGCTACCAAGAAATGGGCAAAAAAGCTCATAATTTGGGTTACAGTATTTATAGGGCTCAGTTTAGAGTACATCTAAAAAAAATATATTGTCTGCAGCACTTGTGTGTCTATATATGGCCTAACACACTTGTTCTCTATTATCAAATGTAGTCAGTCTGCCAGGAACGGATGTCCTTACATCAGTATAACAACACATGGTGACAAGCAGGATGTGAGTTTAAAGTCCACACAGTATGGAAATGTGTACATTAAAATATATCAGGTATTGAAAGATGAATGATGTCATCATGTTTTTCTCTACTTTTTCTTTTAAACCAACAAATCCTGCATATTTCATTTATAGCAGAAGTTGAGTTTTATACTGTAAAGCCCAATATGTAAAATCCAGATTCGTTAGCAAGAGGTTAAAAGACAAAAATGTGGTTTCAGGAAAGTGATATTTTAGTTCCTATTGTTCAGTATTTGACTCAGCATTCCCAACACTATTGTGATCGAAATGTAGCTATGATTTTAGATATGGGCAATGTTTTAGGGATGCAGTTATATCTATTTATATAGGAAGTGACTTCATAGTATTTACCTTACACATTTGCATTTAGCTTTAAACTGTGCTATTCACTGTGAGTTATATATTAGCCAAGCTCACCAAAACGGCAGATAAGACTTCTAACAAATTAGATTTTTCTTCTTTATGGCTGAACTTGTGCCTTTTAAGAAAAAAAAAACATGTATTTTACAGGGTTTAGCATGCAACAGCAGAGTAGAAATATTCTGAATGGATTTCCACTTTTCTATAGAACTAATATTACTCAAGGGTAGCACACGTAATCAAAATCAAAGGTACTTTCAAGGCATTTTCCAATGCCCTGCATTAATATTCACTATATTATAAATACACAAAATGTGTTTGGCATGTAAATAAATTGCTTGCATTGCAACACTCTTTTTGTTTCAGTGACAAGTTGACTGGGACATGAGCTGGTTTGTTTGTTGTCCAGGAGTGAATTAACTTTACGAAATTCTCCATTAAAGCTAATCAACGAGATCTCAAGACTGGCAACGTAAAAACAAAGCATATTCACACGTGCTCAAGCCAGAATCAGAAACACATAAAAGTGAAGTTATATGTAACATTTTATAGGCCATCTATCACTCATACATTGTGTTTTGGCTTGGGATGCCTACAACAGCAAATGCCAAAAAAAAAAAGAAAAAGTATTTTTAAAACTGTATCCTATTATAGGTGTATGATTTCTGTAATTGCACTCGTGCTATTGGCCAGTGCGGAGTGGGTTGAAGGAGAATTTACTGTCACTGAATGAGACAAGGTGCTTGTATTTGAGTTTATGTATTTAAGGCTGGGACTGCAACCACAGTTGTTCTTAAGGATACTTTATTTTAAATCACAGACATTTTGAATATATTCAAATAAAATATCTCACCAAGCATAATGTGAAGACCTGATTTTTGTACTCGATTGCTTTCTTGTTGCATTACCACATGGCATTGGCATTTTGTGAGCTGGGAAGTCTAATAATCAATGATGGATGCAGAATTAACTGAGGAATAAATAAAAAAGGGTTAATTGTTCTCATAAACCAATCGCCCTTGGCTCTTCAGGGAATGGAACTATTAGGATGATCTGACAGTAATGAAGACAAAATCCCATTCATGCTACAAACTTAGATTTAATTCACTTCAACATGTGCAAAATGGACACTTAAGCTTTAACATATTAATCAGGATTACAAGTGAGTCATGTGTTCACATTATCGCATGAAAAGGTGTGGTTTCTGCCTTTTAGTCATTATGTTGACTTGCATTGGCGAAAAAGGAACAACCCACCACTCAGGTGTTGTCATTTAATGTTTTAGTTACTTTATTTAGAAAGGCAACTTTTTGGGGTGTGAAACCAAAATGCATTGCATGGAGAATTGAAAGCAAGATCTGTGTCAGGCATTTAGATTTTCATTGTGCAAAATACTCCGCCTCAAAACGACCCTACCACCATTACCTAGGCAACTTAAAGTCAACTGTAGTCCATAATGATGGAGCTTGAACAATAATATTCAGTCTTTCATGAACACCTCAGGTAGGAGACACTGATAGGTTCCCGGTTTTGTCTGTAAGGTTTCTGTTTGCCCACATGCAGGCAATGTCTCATAATACAGACCTCAGAAATCCTCTCTGAAAGTTTGATGGCACAGAACAATTTTTGTTTGGTATCTTCATTTCAACTGCAACACAACCTAGAATAGGACACATAATGCCATGCAGTAGAGTTAAGTGTAGGTGCCACCACTGTCTATTTACAGTCCATTAACCTTTTAACATTTTACCTGATAAAAACTCAACTCCAATCCTTTAATTAACATATTGTGAAGAAAAAAAGCTGTGTTTGTGATAAACAAATCCATCATTAAGGTGCTTTTAACTTCAAACTGTTGATTCCAGCCAAAATAACAGTCCATATCCATAATTCATAATAACACTTCCTATATATAGGATACAGAATATACCCTGTTGTCTTCTCACATCAAAATCTACCAACATAATTTGTTTAGAATTGTTTTCACTTGTAAACAGTGCTTTATCTGTGCATATTTCTCTCCTGATTCAGACTTCATTGAATAAAACAATAATATGGATAGAGGACTCGTATTTTGGCCAAAAGCAATGGTTTGAAGATAAAAATGGCTTAATGATGGATTAGTTTCTTACAAACATGCACAGATTTTCACTGATGAACAGGAGTTGTATGGATTACTCATGGATTATTGTGATGTTTTATCAGCTGTTTGAACTCTCATTCTGATGGCACCCATTCACTGCAGAGGATCCATTGGTAAGCAAGTGATATAATGCTAAATTTCTCCAAATCTGTTCTGATTATCAAACAAACTCATCTATACCTTGGATTTTCATTTTTGGGTGAACTATTCCTTCAAGCATTACCTTATTAGCAGCCTCTAGTGCACTGATGAGAGTGTGCAGCTCCTCTTTGTTCATTTCTATATTCACCAATCTCTGAATTCCATTCTCCTTCAGGTCCAAACAGATTTAGCAGAGGAATGTTTAAAGCTGACAGCTTGTCGCTGGATAATGCCAGCTAGAGTGAGATGCAAGGAAAGGGAAGAGGAAGTAAGAAAGCAACTAACAAATGGAAAAATCAATAGATGATCTTATCATTATGATTAATGCATGCCTGTATGTATGCATGTGCTTGGTGCACCTTTAACTGCCAGTTGAAGTCCTGTAGCTGTGTGCTTGAGATGCCATTGGTTCTGTCCACCAAAGCATGTCTGATCTCATCAAACCTGGAGCGCACACACTGGAGAAGAGCCTCGGCGCATGCCGTGTCCAAATCACTCAGTAGTTCCTGGATCTTCAGACATGTGCACAAAATAATCAATCTCACAAATTATTCAGTCATGTTTAGTCAACCACTAAATCTACTTGAACACTGACATGATTCTGTAAACAGTTTAGACATGTTTATACTGTATGTATGGTCACATTCTCATCTACTCACCTCTTGATCTGAACAACCCTTTCCTACGCCAAAGCGGATAAAAGAGGAGAGAGCGTTCATTAACTCCACCCATTCTGGCAGACTCCACCGTTCACCGTAATCTGTTCGCCTCGGACCACTCTGGCCACACACCCCATCCACCACCCTGTGTATGAGCTTACATTGCAAATAAGGAGTTGAAGTATGCAGTGCTCAAAGTCAAGTTGATAAAGCTCCTAATATATTCTGTTTATTTAGAATGATTCTCTAAACGTTTTCAACCAGGGGCCCATCAAAGTACCGCAGCAGGGTCAAATTTTGCCAATATACTAGGATTCAATATATTTAAATATTTAAACTGTGGTTGAAATTTATAAACATAAGCAAAAATTGATGTATAAATCTCAATTTTGAAAATGTACCCTTATGACTGGTTTTGTTGTCCAGGGTCACATCTATGTTAATTGTTATTAACTGAAGATATAGATACAAAGAATGCAGCATTTTTATTTTAGGGGGTACCTGGTGTTGACAAAGTTTGGGTGAGGGGCCCCTGCAAGTATTTTTTTTTTTTACTTTATTAAACATCTTCAAATAATAAACAAGCTTTATCACAGATAAACACAAACACAATACATCCAAGAAGTACAGATACTTCGAAAGAGGAAACTGCATTCTTTTTTTCAACTGCTTTAAGGACTGAAATACAATTTTAAAATAATTTTTATAATGCCATAATACTTAATACTTCAAGGGTCAGTAAAGTCACTGCTCTATATGTTGGTAGATAAACATCAGATGAACTTCAATGTATTAAAACTATCCATACAAAAAAAAAAAAACATTTATAAAATAATAATAGTACCCTACCCAGTGCATTAGGGTGCATCAAAAAAAAAGAAATTAAGATTTTCACTTTGGCCCAAGCATAAAGTCGTTCCACTCGAGTCAGACTACAAATGTGCAAAAAATATTAAAAATGTTCTTGTGGCTCAGTGGTAGAGCATTGCGTTAGCAGCGCAAAAGGTTGTGGGTTCAATTCCCAGGGAACACACATACTGGTAAGAATGTATAGCCTGAATGCACTGTAAGTTGCTTAGGATAAAAGCGTCTGCTAAATGCATAAATGTAAATGTAAAAATGAATAATGTCTACCGGGTCCACATGTGATGCAAAATATTGTTACAGGGTCACAAATAAGCATATAAGTTTTAACATAACAAAATAATAATAACCAGTTTCTGGCACTGTTGAGTCTTTTTTTTATGTATTTATTGTTCTTTACTTAAGTGACAATGAGACGTGTAGGCCAAGTATAGTAACCCATACTCTCATACCCAATTTGTCCTCTGCATTTCACCCATCCAAATGCGTGCACACACACAGCAGTGAGTAGTGAACACACACCTGGAGCAGTGGGCAAACTTTTGCTGTGGTTCGGTGCCTTGCTCAAGGGCACCTCAGTTAGTAACGAGGGTGGAAGAGAGCGATGTTCATTCACCTACATTTCCTGACGGTACTGACTGAGAATCGAACTCGCGTCCTTTGGGTTACAAGTCGGACTCTCTAGCCATTACAATGATTTTTGCCAGTTTTTGGTGTGTTACTGTCAAAGAATGTAATAAGTCATATACTACTGACTGTATTGTAGATTTGGTAATGTTGCTAAAGCAGAATAATGCTAAAAGTTTTCTTAAAACTCAAATACTGCATTGCAAATGCTAAGCTGCATAATTGTATATACTTTTCATTTCTTGGGTGTGGTTGACCCGGTAAATATACAATTAAAAATATGAAATTTGTCCACTGCTATGATATGGCATGCATTAGATATATCTATATCTACATCTAATGCATGCCACATGGGGCATTTGGGCCAAAACATACTTCAAAACTCTTTTTTTTTTTTTATGCAGCCTAGTAACGTAATGGGTCTCCTTCAAACATAGCAAGAATCTTTTATAATCATTATTATTTTATGTATGTATTGATGATAGCTCTCGGGGACCGCAATTTTAAACCACAGATACCAAAAGTATGACTCTAAGTTAGCTTTTATGGTAAATAACCCACAACCCAGAAATTAACTATACATCTAAATAACAGTATCTCGTTTAAATTTATTTCCACAAATTATTAGACGGTTTCAATTACACAAAAATTGTGAGTCACTGCATCTATTTGTGCATATGTATTATTTGATAAACAGTATTATGTGTAGGAAGCTGCTGTTACTTACTTTAGGACATTGTTCAGATGGTAGTTTTTCGAGCAATTTTATCATCATGCTGTCAGTCGTCTTCTTCTTCTTCTTCTTTTGTGTTTAATGGCGGTTGGCAAACCAGCTTAAGGTGCATTTCCGCCACCTACTGGGATGGAGTGTGAGGCCTCGATGAACGAACATATTATATACTACTCGGGTTGCACCCCAATCTACCCCTGCCAAACATCTTAAAATATTTATTTCCTTTTTACATTTATCTATTACTTTATTAATATGTGATGCAAAGTTAGTTTTGAGTCCATCCATAATCCAAGGAACCTAATTTCTGTTACCTGCTCTAACATTTTTCCATAAATCTTTAGTTTAATATTTGGTGATTTCTTCTTTTTTCAGAAACATATCACTTTAGTTTTTTCTACTGACAGTCTAAAACTCCACTTATTTAGTCAGTCGTCTTCCTCAGCGTCAATTATGTCAGCTGATCGAGCGGCACGTGACTTCATCTTCTGCCGCGTCCTCAGGATGTTGCTGCACTCTGGGATTTACTAATAATACATTTTACATGCTAATTACATTTACGTGTTAAAGTCTTACGAACTATTTCAATGTTGTCACATTTACACATTACCGTCAACTTAAAACGACACCCGGAAGTACTCGTTCATAACATTTCAAATTAAAAGTTCAAAATTATAAATTAACAGTAAACGCATTAACTGTATAGATTTATAGATATACGTTTGAAATTGGATCCTAATTTAAAATAAATAAATAAATAAATATTAATTTTTACACAATTGACCTAAAGCATTTTCAAAAAGACAGGGTTTGTTCACAAACTTTCCCCACATCTTAAAACAAAAAAGACTAAATTTAAATTTAGTCTTAGTACAAGATGTAATACCCAGAAATGACATATTTTTCTCAAAATCCTTTGAAAGTACTGGTAGTTAATTACGGGTTTATACATTTTACGTTCAAATAAAAAGATTTATGTTTAGTTTCGATTGCCAAAGCATGATAATACGTGTGGCACAAAGAGAAACTTGTGTGTGTGTGTGTGTGTGTGTACCTGTTTTTCTATTCTGGTGGAGACTTAAACCTGAATACACACAGACTCATGAGGACTCGTGTCACGGTGGAGACCTAAATTGAGGTCCCCACGGGTAAACAAGCTTATAAATCACACAGAATGAAGTTTTTTTAACATCTAAAAATGCAGAATGTTTCCTGTAAGGGGTAGGTTTAGGTGTAGGGTTTGTGTAGGTTAATAGAATATACGGTCTGTACAGTAGAAAAACCATTACGCCTATGGAGAGTCACCACAAGGATAGCAAACCAGACATGGGTGTGTGTGTGCGCGCGTTTTTGTGACAAATGAGGACATAAATTTGTATAATGACAAAGGTATGACATAGGTATTACAAGGAGAAGGTGACTTTTCAGGACATTACCCCATGTTCCCACTTTTCAAAACGCTTATAAATCACACAGAATGGAGTGTATTGAAAATCTGAACACAAAAGTTTCCTGTAAGGGGTAGGTTTAGGGTAGGGTTGGTGTAGGGCAATAGAATATACGGTCTGTACAGTATAAAAACCATTACGCCTATGGGATGTCCCCACTTTTCACAAAAACAAACCAGACGTGTGTGTGTGTGTGTGTGTGGGTGATGATGATGATCAGTGAGCGCGCAGGATCCTCAGGCGCTCTAGACGGGCTCACGGTAGCCTACTCCGATGCAGGTCACTGTAAGCCATATGGCTTATATAACCCTTAAATATTATAACTGAAAAGCTGATGCATGATTTGTACAGGAGCTTACTCTGAAATGTGGCCAAGTTCATGAGTCGACGGTAAGTTTAAGGCTTTGTTATTTTAAATGTGCGTTGGCTGCTGTCTTTCCCATCCTGACGCCTCAGTCTTGATTGGGTCCTTTAAGAAGTGCATGTTCATCTCGGGCCATAAAGCCGACATAAACATTTTATGATTTTACACTCCTTTTTTTCACTTGAGGTCACACACACACACATCTATTGTACACGCTTCAAATGTGACTGAATGTGTTTCCGGATGTGTGAAAACGGAGCTTTTCTCTTTTTAAAACCAAAATTTGAAGCATCAAGATACTTTTCATCACGATCTTTTCGCGTCTTATGAGCAGCACAGGATATGCTGATGTACAAATATTAAATATCATTAATATTTCGTTGTAACACAAACACTCCGCATTAACAACGAAACATAAATAATAATAATAAAAAAATATTAGCCTGTGACGTTTAATTCTTTAAGTACTGCACCATATAATTTATCAATAGCTACCGGAGCTTAACGTACACGTGTTTTTTTTATTTTGGGGCGGGGGGGGGGGGGG